CACTTACACTGAAGAGGGGCTCATATAGACCCAAAATGCATTTGAGATTTGCAATAAAGGAGAACCTAACCTTATAGCTGAGAGAAAGTCTACCGTGTTTTACTAAAGAGACATATACTCAAACTATAAATTCTTATCAATATATACTGTATGTTTCGGAATTTCCTGCATACGAAAAGATTTGCTGTATTCTCTTTTAAAAAAGAAAATTTAAATGAAACAATAATATAATATTTGTATATACACCTGTGTTATAACATGAAATAAGGATATGAAAAGATTAGGAGTTCTATTTTAAAAGATTACTCCTGAGTAAATAATTTGATAGTCATTTGTATTACAAAACATCAATTATTAATCAGAGAAAGTAATATTACATACCAGAAAAATATACGAGAGAAAACACCAACTGTAGCGAATGGGTTACTTTTTTCTTTCCTCTCCATTCTCATCTACACTTTTCTATACACTTTTCATATGTAGTATTTATTACTTATCAAACCTATACATCTATTCGATAGTGTATAATATTTATATTAAAGTGTAAAGGTTTTGCATGTTATTTGTGTTCAGAAAACCTTGAAATTACCTCTAGACGTTACATGAATACAAAGTTAAAATTTTTGCAGCGCTATCAAATGTGATATTTCGTTTAAAAATAACATACTGTAAGTATAAAATAGAAAATAAGCTGAATTTTGAGGGTTGAAATAGATTTTTATAAAACTAAAACGTAAATACTGACAAACAAAAAAGTTGCTGATTAAATTTGACCCCACTCGAGATACAACAGGACTTTTTGAGAGACACTTATCAGTGTCTCTCAAAACTCACGAAACTTCTTCAGATCATCAGTACGCCATGCACAGTTGGACAGAAGCATCGAATCGATGAAAGCACTCCAGTGGCATTGACAAACATTTGCAAAAACAGATTGGAGAAATCATGGTGGGTTTCTATCCTCCAATGAATGGTGTCCATAGTATTCTTTTTAGCGACAATAATTTGTTGTTCAGAGGAAGCTCTGAATGTGAAACACTATATACTCCTAACAATGGTAACTTCTTGGGTATGGTGCAACTGCTAGGAAAATTTGATTCTGTGATGATGGAGCACCTCTGCCATATTGTTAATAAAAAGACTAATATCCACTATTTTGGCAAACGTATTCAAAACAAGTTGATCGGTTTACTTGGAAGTGAAGTTCAAAATAAAATTTTTAATAGGGTAAAAGTCATCTAAATGCTTTTCCATCATATTGGATTGCATAATGGATTGCACTCCTGATGTCAGTTGTGTTGAACAGTTATCTTTAACTTAGCATTTTGTTGACACTAATGAAAGTAAAGTCCAAGTGTGTGTGTTTCGTTGCTTACAAGCCGGTAAGTGCTCTTTGGAAGCTAGACTCACTGGCCTCTTTCTTGATGATATTGTGCAAGAGTTCGAGTTAGATATGAACGATTGTCGAGGCCAAGGATATGATAATGGATCGAATATAGTAGAAATAAACAAAGATGACCAAAGCAAAATTCTGAATCAATATCCACAAGCATTTTTTAAATCCATGTAGCTGTCATTGCTTAAATTTGGTAATAGCAGATGCCGTCAAAACATCTGTTAAATCGGTTTCTTTGTTCAGATTTCTTCAAAGACTGTTTGTTCTAATCTCTGCATCAACAAAGTGATGGGAAGTGATATCCAAGCACATAGAAGGACTATCGCTGAAAAAAGTTTGTGGAACTTGTTGGGAGAGTAGAGTTTCTAGCCTTGCTGCAGTTTGTTACCATTACTCTACGAATGACCCAGTTGCAGCATCAGAGGCCTTGTCGCTGATTCATATCATGGAGCAATTTGAGTTTATAGTAACAATAGTGGCTTGTTATGATATATTGTTTCAAGTAAACATTGTAAGCAAGGCTATGCAGTCTGAAACTATGGATTTACCAAATGCTACACAATTGCTGAAGAATTGCTATGTATTTGTAAAAGAGTACAGTGTTATTCATCTGCTGTGATAACAGCTAGGGAAATTGCATTTCTGATTGCACTTTGAATTTTGCTGACCATACCTATAACTGTTGCTAAAGGATAATGAAGTTTTAGTAAATTAAAACTTATTTACGTACAACCATGTGTCAGGATAGACTGTCAAATCTAGCAATTTTATCTATTGAAAATTGTATTGCCCAGGAATTAATTTATTCTGAATTAATAACAACATTTGCAAGCACAAAAGCGAGAAAGGTGGCAATGTAGGCTTTTTATTTTATTTTTCTTAAATTGCTTCAATTTTAAATTAATTTACGATGTAAATTTGTCTTTTGTGTGATGTGAGCGTTGTCTGTGCCATAGCAGTTTAAATAAATATTGTTATAAATATTGCCTTCTGAAAAAAATTAAATAAATATTGTTTTTTTTTTCACTGTTATTGCTCCTCATCCATACTAGTACTATGCTATTGATTTTACTGAAGAGTGAGCTGGGTTGTGAAAATATAAAACATGATCCTGATATGTGTGCTATATCTCCATAACCTAAAATTAAAAGATTCCATCAACGGAGGGGAGGAGAAAAAACATCAACAGTTTGCGATACTTCTGAATTAAGAAGGGTCAAGTTAACTCTCCATTTACCGTCGTTATCGTTTCTCATCCATAGTATTACTATACTAATCTTTCAAAGGTCTGAGTTATTAATAATGTGAAAAATGAACGTTATCAGTTTAGTCTGTACAGGAGGCACCACACTGAGATCTTGCACCACCTGAAAACCTGGCTAGAGCCACCACTGCCTGGAGTGCAACACAGAGAGATAAGGTAGATGATGTTAAATGTTTATAATCAGAGAAGTTGTTGCAAAAATCATGACAGTTCAATTGAATTATTTTATAATTCATTGTGTTTGAGGCACCATTCTTTGCAAAAGTGCCCTTCTTCAATTTCACTGGTGATTTTCCTTTTGGAGGTGAGGTTGGTTGGGTCGCCTCCATATTATTTTCATCATCAGGTTGGTTGGTTGGTTGGTTAAGGTTTTTTGGCGCAAGGGCCCTTTAGGCCATGCTGCGCCATGACAAAAGGTAAAATATATATAACACAAAATATAAATATGACACAAAAACGTAAATAGAAACAAACAAACAAAACAACAAAATAGATATAAGCATATAATAAATAAATAAATAAATATATAAATAATTAATTAAATTTCTTTATAAATATTTACGACTTTCAAAAAGTTCAGTATCTTATCAAGATTTGGCCTCTGGCCCAAAATCTCTTTAAAACTTGCATTTCCAAAATGCTGTCTACGTATCCTCTCAGAGGCAATGCAGTTGTAAAGTATGTGTTTAACACTTACAGTACAGTTACAATATTGGCATAATGGCTGATCTTCACCCTTCAAAAGGTACAGATGAGTCAACCGAGTATGCCCAATTCTCAAACGAGTAAGAATTACTTCAGATCTCCTGTCATACTGTTTATTACGTGTCCAATTTTCTATATTCGGCTTGATCTCGTGTAGTTTATTGTGGATTTGTGCATTCCACATGTTTTGCCATCGCTCTGCTAGTCGTTTTTTAACAACTAGCTTCAAATCACCTCCTTCAATAGGCATTATATGCTGTGAAGGACTAGCTGCCTTTGCAGCTGCGTCCGCTTCTTCATTTCCTTTTATACCTACATGGCCTGGGACCCAACAAAATTTTACAAAGAAATTACTTGCAATAAGATGGCAAAACAGTTTATGAATTTTAATCACTATGGAGTGGGAACTAGGTTCACACGAGATCAAAGCCTGAAGTGCACTAACTGAGTCAGTGTATATAACACAGCAACGATGACCTTTCCTATTTATATACTTTAGAGCTAAATAAATAGCATGCAACTCTGCAGAAAAGATAGAAGAATTTGATGCAATTTGTTCTGCCACAATTTCATCCTGGCAGACGAAAGCTGAGCCAACGTAATCATCAGATTTAGATCCATCTGTATAAATAGGAATTAAATTCCTGTCACAATGTTGAATTTCTGCAAAGTGCTGTCTATAGACGTAGTCTGGTGTGGATTCCTTAGGAAACTGCTTTAAGCTAAGGTCAACATTTATCACAGGAGTTGACCAAGGAGATATACTACAGACCTCTAGCTGTGAAATGTTGCTTGTGTTAAGGTCAATCGTGCTACTCACATTCTCCGTTCTTATGGGGAATGTAGGGACACAACTAGGGCGAGTTTCAAATAACCTTTTCAGCTGAGTATCTAATACTCTATAATCGACTGAAGGTTTAGAGTTAGATTTCTGCTTTATATAGTAAAATAGAGACAACTGTTCTCTCCTAAGAGACAGTGGAGGCTCATAAGCATCCACATACAAACTTTGGACAGGGGAAGTTCGGAATGCACCAGTGCACAAACGCAGTGCTTGATGATGGATTGGATCCAGCATCCGAAGAGTAGATTCTCGCGCAGAGCCATAAACAATGCATCCGTAGTCCAGCTTAGAGCGGACAAGGGCCCTATAAATCCTGAGCATAGAAACTTTGTCTGCTCCCCAGGATGAGCAGCATAATACCTTTAAAAGGTTTAGAGATTTTAAACATCTACTCTTCAGGTTGCGCAAGTGTGGCAAGAATGTCAGTTTTTTGTCAAAACAAACACCCAAAAACTTAGTCTCATTAACAATTGGAATTTTAACTCCATTTAAATATATTTCAGGATCCAGGTGCAAACCACGCCTTCGGCAAAAGTGAATGCACGAGGTCTTCTCTACGTTGAAACTAAAACCATTGGTCTTGGACCAATTTTCTATGCGATTTAAAGAGGTTTGCAGTTGTCTCTCAATGAAACTCATGTTACTAGACTGGCAGGAGATCTGAAAGTCATCCACATACAAAGAGTGTTTCACACTAGGGGGAAGACAGTTAGCTATGCTATTAATTTTAATTAGGAACAGAGTCACACTCAAAATAGAGCCTTGAGGAACACCTTCTTGTTGTGTGAAAGGCCTAGATAAAGTGTTGCCCATCCTGACATGAAATCTTCGATTCTGTAGGAAGTTTTTTATAAAAATCGGCAAATTACCCCGCAATCCGAATTCGTACAGATCACGGAGTATCCCGTATCGCCAACAGCGATCATAGGCCTTCTCTATATCGAAAAATACAGACACTAAGTGCTGTCGTCTAACAAACGCTTCGCGTATAGATGTTTCAAGGTTTACTAAGTTATCAGTGGTACTTCTGTTCCTACGGAATCCACTCTGATGTGGTGAAAAATAGTTCTTTACCTCTAGGAGGAACATCAGGCGTCTGTTTACCATTCTCTCAAAGAGTTTACACAGACAACTTGTCAGAGAGATTGGTCTGTAATTAGAGGGATTCTTGTGGTCTTTACCAGGCTTGGGAATGGGAATAACTATAGATAGCCTCCAAGAGTCAGGAAAAGTATGTTCTGTCCATATTCTGTTAAACAGACACAGAAGATTAGAAAGGGAATTGTTTGACAAATTTTTAATCATGCTGTAGTGGATTTTATCCAAGCCTACAGCACTATTCCCCGAGCGAGAGATCGCTGTATGTAGTTCTATGCTGGTGAATGGCACATTATATTCGTCATTATATGAGGAATGAAAGTTTAAATATTGTTTTTCACTTTGGGCTTTATAAGCCTGAAAATTTCTTGAATACATAATATTGCTGGATGAAGTAGAAAACGTTTCACCCAACGTATCAGCAATACCCTGTATATCGCGGATTATTGTGCCATTCTTTTCCAGCATGGACAGAGAGTGAGAAGCGTATTTCCTATTGATTTTATCCCAGACTGCTTTTGAGCTAGTGGAAGATGTTATGCTAGAAACATACTTCCTCCAAGAATCCCTTTGGCTTTGCCTTCTTATTCTTCTGGCATTTGCCTTTGCTTTTTTAAAAGCAACCAAATTTTCAGCACTAGGGTATCTTCTGAAAATCCCCTAAGCTTTCTTTTGTGCTTTAAATGCTGCCTCGCAATTCTGGTTCCACCATGGTTTTGGATGCTTTGGGTATCTTGTTGATGTCTTTCCCATTGTTTTCTCAGCTGCCTGAATAATACACAAAGTGACAATTTCAACTGCATCATTGATATCAGCAGTATTGACCATTTCCTCAGTGATGTTAGCCATGGAGGAAAATGTAGGCCAATCTGCCGTTTCCAGTTTCCAGCGTGGTGGACGGGCTGTTTCACAGCTTTCTCTGCCTTGATATTTTAAAAATATTGGGAAGTGGTCACTAGAGAGTGGATTAGATCCAACCTCCCATGTAAATGCTGAAAACAGATTCGGAGTTGCTAATGATAGATCAATGGCAGTGAACGTTCTTGATGGGGCATGGAAGTATGTCACTTCTCCAGTATTAAATAGGTACAGTTGGTGATTACCTATAAATCTCTCGATGGCTCTGCCTCGACGATTGATGTCAGGACTGCCCCACATAGGATTGTGACCATTGAAGTCACCCAGTAAAAGAAATGGTGTTGGTAGCTGTTCAACCAAAGTATCCAATTCATTCTCATTCACTCTGACATCTGGTGGCAAGTATATAGAACAAACTGTGACAGTTACTCCAATAGATATTCTAGCTGCCACGGCTTGCAAATTAGTGGTGATTTGTACCGGCAAGGATGGGATGTGATTTGAAACTACAATAGCCACACCTCCACTGGCACGGTTGTGGCTATCATCATCCTTGCGGTAAAGATTGAATCCTTTTAAAGAAATATTTTCTCCAGGTTTTAGATGAGTCTCCTGGAGTGCCACACAGAGAGATGAGGTAGATGACGTCAAGTGTTTAATGTCAGAGAAGTTGTTGCGGAAACCACGACAGTTCCATTGGATTATTTTATAATCCATTATGTGTTTGAGGCAGCATTTTTAGCAAGGTTGTCCCTCTTTAATTTCACAGGGGGTTTTTCTTTTGGAGGTGATGTTGGTGGTGTCACCCCCTTATTATTCTCTTCATCAGAGAAGTCAGAGAACTCGCTCATAGACTGAGTCTCTGATTTTTTAGTTTTAGACAGGGCTGCTTTTATTCTTTGTTTATTAAGTGGGTTCTTACTGGCTTTTTTGGAACCCACATTCCTAGTTGTTACCCCTGTTTTAGGTATGAGTGGTTTTGCTTTGTTATTCTCTTTTTCTGTTGCTTTGGTAGATGGTATCAGCAGACATTTTTCATGGCGAGTCAGAGATTCATCGGGTGAAACAGAAATGTCTGTCTGAACTCCACATGTCTTTGTGGATTTCAGAGCAGCAGCGAATGTCTTTTGTTTCACTGGTGTATTTAAGGTGACCATACGACGTGCCTCCGGGTAGGATATATTATTAATAGTCTTCAATCGCTGAATTTCTTTCTCTCTCTGCCATGAAGGGCATTTCCGAGAGTAGGCAGGATGAGCATCTTTGCAGTTCACACAGCATGGAGAACTTGTGCATTCATTACTCTCATGGTCTTCATTTCCACACTGTGCACATGCTTTTTTTCCTCTGCATGATGTTTGGGAGTGTCCAAACCGCTGACATTTAAAGCAACGTAGCGGGTTTGGGATGTATGGGCGAACTGGGCAACGGAGATATCCTGCCGCAACAGAAGATGGCAATGTTGGTTTGTTGAAAGTCAAAATAAGGTGTTTCGTTGGTATCAACTTGCCATCTCGACGGATTGAAATTCGTCGAACAGCAGTGACACCTTGGTCTGAAAGACCGATCTGAATATCCGATTCATCCTCAGACATCAGATCACTTTCAGATATCACACCACGTGATGAGTTCAAATTTGTGTGTGGTGTGATGGTTACCATTATGTCTCCTAGAGACTTCATTTTCAGAAGCTTTGCTGACTGTTGAGGGGAGGCTGCTTCTACAAGTAGATCTCCTGACCTCAATTTTTGAATTTTTTTCAGATTCCCAACGGTCGATTCAAACAATTTTTGAATCAAAAAAGGGGAGCGTTTAGATAGGGGTGTTTCTCCCATGGCATGAACGATAAGGTAGGCTGGTGGTAATGCATCAGTACATGTTTTAGGTTTTAATGAATCCATATTTAGATTTTAAAATTCAGCTCCTAGTGACCCCACCCACCATGGGGCCCAACAAGGGGATGCCGTCACATGGGAGACTCCCATAGACCGTCACACCAGGGTTTCCCAGGAGCTATACCCTCACAATGCAGTCAAGAAGAGCACATCTTGTATGACATGTCCGCCCGGTCTGCATCGATCGGTTGACTCCAAGCCGAGGTCAAAACTGACTCAACGACCAGCCGATTGACTCAAACGGAGCCTGATTTGAGCCTCCCGTTTATCCGAAGCAGGGGCCAAAGCAGTGTGTTGGGGACGTTATGTTGCCCCTCAACTACCAGGATCCCCCTTTCCGGCATACGGGACACCACGCACGGCAAACACGTGGGTGGGCGTTCAGATCCCAGGGATGGTGAAGAAGAGTATCTAAACCATCTCTGGGAGGTCCCCTCACCACGGACAGGAACCCACATCGAGGGGATTTTCATCATCAGAGAGATCAGAAAACTTACTCAGACTGAGCCTCTGATTGATGATTTAGAGAGGGCTGCATTCAATTTTTGTTTGTTGATTGGATTCTTATTAACCTTTTTAGAACTCATATTTCTAGTTATTACTCCTGTTTTGGGTAGGGGAGTTTTTGTCTTCATGCTCTCCTTTTCTTCTGTTTCTTTACATTGAATTAGTAAGCATTTACCATGGCGAGTGAGAGATTCATTTGGAGAAACAGAAATATCTGTTTGAACTGCACATGTCTTTGTGGATTTTAAAACAGCAGCAAATGTCTTCTGTTTCAGTGGTGCACTTGAAATGACCATGCAACAAGCATATGGGTAAAGTAAATTTCTGACAGTTTTCACCGGTGAATCTCTTTTTCTCTCTCCCATGCAGGGCATTTCCGGGAATAGGCAGGGTGGGCATCTTTGCAGTTTACACAGCATGGAGTACTGGTACACTCAGTACTCTGATGACCTTCAATTCCACACTGCACACATACACTCTTCCTTTGGCTGCTTGCTTGCGAATGTCCAAATCTCTGGCATTTGAAGCACTGCAGCAGATTTGGAACATATGGGCGAACTGGACAGCGCAAATATCCTGCTATGAGAAAAGATAACAATGTTGGTTTATCAAATGTCACAATTAGATATTTAGTAGAAATTATCTTGTCTTCTTGACAAATTGAGATGCATTGGTCATCAGTGAGACCTTGATCTGAAAGGCCTAGCTGAATATCTGATTCTTCTTCAGACATCAGATCAATCTCAGATATCACACCACGTGATGAGTTTAGACTTCTATGTGGTGTGAAAGTGACTTGCATTTCTCCCGTGGTCTTGGTTGCCAAAGTTTTGCTGACTGTTGTGGTGAGGCTGTTTCTATGAGCAGGTTCCCCTGATCTCAACTTCTTTTTTTTTTTTTTATAGATGCCCAATGATGGATTCAAATAGCTTTTGAATCAAAAAGGGGAGCATTTTGACAATGTTTTTTCTTCAGTAGCATGCACTATCAAGTAGGATGGCTGACTGGAAATGTTTTCATTGGTTGGTTTTGGCTTGTCTCCATTTTGTGTTTTTTAGGGTCCATATTGATAAATAATTTTTCAGCTGTTAGTGACCCCACCCACTATGGGGCCCAACAAGGTGATGCCATCACATGGGAGATTCCCATAGACTGTCACACAAGGGTTTCCCAGGAGCTATACCCTCACAATGCAGTCAAGAAGAGCACATATGGACTGACATGACAAAACTGTCAAGCAGGAATGTGTCTGCCCAGTCTGCATAAATCAGTTGACTCCAGGCTGAGGTCAGGAATGACTCAACAACCAGTGATTGACTCAAATGGAGCCTGATCTGATCTTCCCGTTTATCCAAAGCAAGGGCCAAAGCAGTGTGTTGGGAACATTATTTTGCCCCTCAACTACCAGGATCCCCTTTCCGGCATACAAACCACCACACATGACAAACACATGTGTGGGAATTTAGATCTCAGGGATGGTAAAGAAGAGTTACTAAACCATCTCTGGGAAATTTGCTCACACCAGACAAAACCCACATCAAAGAAACAAACAATGGTGTGCTCTTTAAGACAGTTTTCACAAGACCTTTAATGCATTTAGTGCTTTCAAACATGTGGCAAACTTCACGACACAAGAATAACTCAATTTTCATCTTGTGTCAAAAGATAGAGTACATATTATAGATTTTACCGTAAGATTTTAACATATAATAATTTATGGTTCTATGAAAAATTCTATGTAAGTTAATTTATTATTTTTACTCAACAAATTTTTTAAAAACGAATATCTACGAATGCACACTTGGAAATAATTTCATATATCCTTTGAGTCTTAAACAGCCCAAAATTTCTCACAGCACTGTATGAAGTTATCAGTGCATTATTTCCTTGAAGAGCTACAATCCATAAAAGCTCTTTAGTCCGACACATAAAAATAAAACATAATATACGAATGCACAGTTGGAAAGAATTTCATAATCCTTCGAGTCTTAAACAGCCCAAAATTTCTCACAGCACTGTATGAAATTATCAGTGCATTATTTCCTTGAAGAGCTACAATCCATAAAAGCTCTTTAGTCCGACACATAAAAATAAAACATAATAAAGAAATGAATAGTAGGTAATATTTTTAAAAAGTGAAATTATTAATAAAAGTATTTTAATAAAATTTTAAATCTTTCTTATGAAATTCAAATGAAAACAGCATTTATATTGACACAGAAATAAAAAGTAATTATATTGTAACGGCAATATTTTTATTTTAGTATTGATTATAATAATTATAAAATTGACTAATCGATATGGACCATATTTTATTCATATTATTTATTTTTCCATATTTTTTTTTATTTACATGTATATTACGTATGGCCTGGTCCCGCTAGGCACTACCAGGCAAATAATAGAACATTTTATATGATTATATAAAATTATATATATATCATTATACTATTATCATTAAATAATTTATTGTATTAACAGTAGTTTGTTATTATTTCCATATAAAATTACTATTTATCTAAGGATTATATTATATTGTCTTAATTTAATTTATATAATCATTACAGTATAGTCATTCTTTAACACCATATAATAACATTGTTTATAGTACAATTATACTATATTTACACAATACATATATTATAGTCGACATCATCACATATATTATAATGCAATTATATACATCCCGCATACTATAGCCGACACTATTTCAATTAACAATAGTTTATAATACATTCAATTAACAGTATTTATATCAATATGTTATTATGCAGCAATGTTGCATTATATTTATTATAACAGTAATTTATTATATTTATCAAACAATATTATAGCATTATTGTAACAGCAATATTCTAATAATATTTTATTATGATATCTGTAGTTCAATATTTATTCATCATTTATATCTTATATATTATCTAACATTCAAATAATAAATACTATCTAAAGTTGCACTAGTTACAATATCTGTAATAACCAATTACCACCTTATATTTTGCTATTTCATATTACAGAATATTGTATACATAATAGGTTTCATTAATGCTTAACAATATTACAATATACAATGCATTAACGGTGTATAAAGATAGAATATTGCAATATCAGCTCTAACAGCACTTTATCATTATTTATTATAATTACATATCAATTGTAACATGTAATACGGCAAGTATCAAATATATTATCAATATATACATATACATTACATGTATATATCAATTCATATACTGCACATAACTAGATATACATCCACCAATTCAAATTACCCAGTTAAAATCAGGTAAATTTCTTTAAATAATATGTGATTAGCTCCACACTATTGACCAATTCTGTCATACCGCGTATTCAATAAACAAT